CAATCATAGCTTTTCCTTAATCGTTCAGATAATCAGATGTATATTTCTCAGGATTGTAAGAAAGAAAGTAATTAGAATAAATGCAGAAATATAACCGACTCAAATTACTACAAGTAATGGAGGAATTAGGGTGAATTATTTAATAAGGTGTTGAATAAGCATGCTACAATCTTTATTGTTTGTTTTGACTTTATTGAAGTTGTTTTCTTTTATATTTATGATACAATAATACATAACCTTAATTTCTTATATTCATTACGTTTTGCTATCTCAGCCATAAGGAATGAGGACCATATGTTTATTTGTGATTTATCATTGTCCTTCAAGGTTAATATTCTATAGAACGAGTCTCTCGACGACAGTTACAGTTCTAAAATAATAATAATTGTATTTCTCTTATTAATAACTTATAAAATACACAATTTCTAGATGTAAAAAAAATTTATCTTTGATCATATTAAAATTTAAATCTAGCACCTAATTGATTAAAGATACAATTGCTTTGAAATCATGAGTGTTAAACTATATACAGCATAATAACAATGAAACGGTTTTGAAATATGAAAAATCAATTAGCGATCGTTTAGTCATAAAGTATGAAAATATATATGCGGATTACCGGAGCTGTTGTACTAATGATTATTATCATGACAAACGCTTAGTACGGTGGTAAATGACAACTGTTTTGTTTCTTGCTTTTATAAACTGTAAAACGCTTATTATATTGATTGTCAAAAATCTGTTATGAAGGCAGCCAGCACCAAAACATTTTGTAAATAACAGCTTCATACCATACTTTACTCGAGAAGTTCTATTTGCCAAGGCAAATATGTAAACCAAAAAGAGTTCTAACTGATTATTGCAGTTATCTAACACTGTATTAGCTAGAGAAAATACTAGAAATTTTAAATATATAACTAAGCATTACCCTACGGAATGTTTCTCTTTTAAGAACAAAAGGTGCATCATTAACCTTATCGGATTTCTAGTTCTTTGTAATCATTACATCGACTTGGAAAGAAAACAAATTTCAAGCCTTCATTCTTCTTGTGAGTAATTCCGCAAATGTTTTTTTCTAGATATCGAAACAACAGTATAATGTAAAATAGAAACCCACAGATTCACATAAATTTCATGAATTTCAGTTCAATGGACTAGTTGACAAAGTAAGCATTTAAATGTTGCAAGATAACGTTGCATTAAAAATAAAAGCCTTTCTGACATCTGATAAAGACTTTAACATTTTTCACATGTATTACAGCATTTATAACTCTTTGAAAATAATGCAGTAACTGATATATCTTAATAACACCATTGCTGACGAATATAACTACTGAACACTATATGAATTATCAAACTCTGTAAAAGATTTTTGTTAATTTCCACAACCTATCATCGCGCGTAAACTATAGATTATACTTCTATTCATAATGGACCTTTAAATGAAAGAAAGTAAACCCACTGTCATTATATTACCATTCCACACGAGAAATGTAGAAAAGTAATAAAACTGTCTTTGACGGATACATGAAAGTGTTTTAAAGGAATAGCTTTTAAAGTGATTCAAGTCACGTGTCTTCTAGAGGAAGATAGAAACAGAAAGGTTGCGAATTAACTTTAGGCATCGAAAATCGTCTTCGAAAAAACACTTGTCACGCTTGTATAATTTGATTTTAATTAAATAGGTATTGACCCTTACTTATTACATTTTGTCTCTTGTGACTGAATAAATGGTAAGAAACGCACAATGTGATAATAACGTACTATATATCTTATCAAACAAACTGATATAACATCAATCACTTGTGCCGTTCTTGACGTATTGTAGACATATTTTGGCACAATAAAAAGAAAAAGTATCTTACGTAATTAACAGGATTTTGATAACTGTTACAAGAGAGAACGAGAATTGTTATGCAAAATATAACTGCTAGGAAAGAGATAAATCGAATCTTTTATTTAAACTGTAACTTAGTATTTCTTTTTCTTTTGAGTTTTTAGAGGCCTTGTAACCTTCTTTTAAGCCTTTAGACGCCTTGTAACCTAAGTTTAATTTTCCTCAACCGTTGTGTCAATATTTAAGTGAAACTGAAATTGAAACAATTTGAGCAAGGTCCTACAAATCAAATCATTACAAGTAGTTGAACATTAAGTAGTTATACAAAATTCATTTAATGACATTTAGTCCTAAAGATAGCTTTATTTGCTTTTCTTTTAGAAACGGATCGCAACACTTGTTTATTGTCATAATATATGAACTCGTTCTTAAAGATAATTTCCTTGATTTTGTAATATTATAAGTGTCTGTTTGTTGTTCATTTAATATCAACCTGGTGCAAATCAAATATAAGATGATCTGATTATTTCTCTGAATTATGGGCATCTGTCAGAGATATTACTGAAACAACCATGATTCTACTTCTACTGATGACTGACTGATCATTGCCACATTGACGTTGGTTATTTCTTCCTAAGTTAATATACTTATTTTGTTATCGTTTATTTGGCTAGTGTAACTAAATGTTCAGACTTATTTCCCTCTTGAGTCGTATCAGTGACGACTTCGATATTAAATGTACAATGCTACAAATGCTCTTATATCACTTTTTACGATGCTTTTACAATATATCACTTGTGTTAAATCGATGTACATGAAAGACATTTTAACTTGTTATGTTACTGCTAATGGTCTTGAGTACAGTACTTAATTTCTCTATATTTAGTAAACGTTATGTCAGTTAGATTAAACCTTCCATTTGACAATTTGAGTTGCACTTTTTTCTTATGATCTTTATTTCAAACATTGGTGTTGTATCTAATAATCTTTGCTTTTGGTTTTTGTTCTATTTAGGTCATTTAAAAGGGTTGATTGCTTGAACAGAAGTCCGACAAATCCAAGTTTTACTGTTCATTCTTTACTCGGTCACAAAAACATAAGCCAAATTATCTATAAAGGGAAGCAGTTCTTCATTAATTTTAAGTCATAACCGCGCTGTCAAATAGATAATATTATTACCCCTTACTTTTTTCGTAATGCTAATTTCCCATAGGCCTCTGGGAGATATTTTTACTGTTAATGCAAGTGTACCACGTGACTAAAAATTTTGTACTGTTACATAGGTAACAGTATTTTAACGGTATAAAATCTGGTCACGTGGTCTATTTTCTAAATAAAATGAAATAAAATGGCCGCCATTTTTATCTCGATTCATTCTTATTTTCGACGTCAAACCCCGATAGGACACCAATGTCTTCTCTGGAGTAACTATGACACCCATAACATTTAGTTGTTCGCACCCTGGTGTGCTTTTCGTGTATAAAATATCTTTTTGTTGAATAGTCAAAAAGTGAACATCCGTTTTCAACGGAAGTACTTGCAATGTAAATAATTATGTGTCAAACTGGAACATGCAGACGATTTAAGCATGCAACAAAGGATTTCTTAACAATTTTAATCAGTGAAACGTTACAGATATGGTGGACAGACATAGGATATCATCGTTATTTTGTCAAAAACCATGCTAAGAATATTCCGGAAACAGAAGGATCAGATTTCACAGATCATAACCGTGTAAATGGGTTAGTGTTTTGTTTTCTAAATAAAACCTAGCTTATTGTATGTTTATGATTTGTAGATATCATCACGTCTCCCCTTTACTACAAATAACGTAACACAAACATATATTTCGCCTGGTAGCGCTGCACAATAGCTACGAGAGACCGTTTATTACACCAAAAACATACAATTGTATCAATATTTGTGACATTATATGTATACATATTATAATGCAGTGACATTTACAGTATGTTAAAAGATCTCTCAATAATAAACATCCGCGTCATCGGGAAAACACGACGTCCAGGAAAACAAACAGAGAATGTCACTCTGATAAAACCTGTGTCCAATTTAACAAGTTCAGTGCCTTCCTCAGCGGCGTGTGTGGACTTCACACGAAATATTAAATAATATAACATGAATGGTCTAATAAAACGTTCAACTAAAACATATCCTTATAAACAACATTTCACCAAAGTTTGCATTTAATAACCACTATTTATTTATTTATTTTTAAATCTATGAACTTGAAATTTTAAAGCACGTGTTTATTAGCAGTGGTGCACGCTAGAAACTGATAACCTGTAAACTCTACCTATCCCAATGTTATCATACCATTCATTTCGATTGGTCAGTTTGTAACAAAACAATCAAACATTGGTCATGTGACTTATTCAATCGTAACGTGCAGACATAACTTTACCGCTATACTACGTAACGCGGTAAAGTAAAAAAGTCTCCCCTTTACTACAAATAACGTAACACAAACATATATTTCGCCTGGTAGCGCTGCACAATAGCTAGAAACCATTCAAAGTTAGAAATAGGAACAAAAACAAAAATATTCGCAAATCATATCAAATATAAACAACATATTAGATTTTTAAACTTTGAGAAATAGCTAGCCGTTTTTTCTAATGAATCTGCTACATAAATATCTTTTGAAAAATCGGACTTCCACCTACCATGTCTTTTTAAACACCGATCATTAACATTATTGTTTGCTGCTACTGAAGCGCCTATGCTCTTAAAGAATGAAGACCAATATTTAAGTTTGGAGCGATGGTCTTAAAAAAGTGATTGTAACACATTCCCTTGCTCTAGTGTAGCTTAACTGTTTGTTTTTATGAATCAGATTTAAAACCGGACTTAGATTTAAATGCAGGCTTAAACAAAAACATATCAGAAAGAAACATCTATGTCACCTAAACTTATATACCTCTGTAACATTCTAACCGGACATGCTGAAGTAATACCTTTACTAATTAAAACTTCATTACCAAATCTATATTGATCTGTTTTGCTCTTTCTTAAAATAATTTTTATATAGCTATCTTTAAAAATAATGTCTGAGCATTTTAGATTACTGAGCTCATCAAAACGCAAAAAAAACTGAAAAAAAAAAACCAATGTAATCATACATAAATTTCGAATTATACACAAATCAACTGACATTTTGTATTTTATCACAAAGTTCTACAATGAGTTCTGTTGACACTGGATCTTTCTTTTGTGTAGGTGTCTTTGCTGTACGCTTGGATGATTCTAATAAATTTTTCACGAATGAGTTTTTGTTGGATCTTCTAAACCGTTTAACTCATGTGCCCATTTTATTCCGTAAAAAATTGTAGACACTGTATGATACGAACTTCCAGTATCTAAAAGTTCAGTTAAATATTGTGCAACCAAAATAGGACGCGCGGGTAAAGATAAATAACCCTTTCTGGAACAATATACCCTCCATCTGTTAAATGCGTTGCTGTATTTCTTATTAGTGTTTTTACTCTTTGAGTCAAGTAAACGATGGCACATACTGTCAACCATACTTTGGTCGTAACAACCGGCCTCTGGTAGCTGTTCTGTTATGTTGCGTTTCAATCCTATGCCTGAAAAATGATTATAAAATATGTTATGTTTATGTTGTAATATTTTTACACTATAAAAATAAGTATATCATGTTGACGTTCCTTTTCACCTCCAATCTGAAAACTATAAAACTGTTTAATGCCGTATCTTAAGAGCAAGCATCTAAACAGACAAAGGATTTTTCCCAAAAATACCATTATTACCAAAACCAACTGAAATAATATCTGTCTTTGGTAGCATTTTAAATTCTGCTATACAATTTTTGAAACTACCATCGTCATTACACAATTTTGGCCAAAACGAGGCTGACTTCCACAATGGGACTATTAAAGTACCAGATGCCTGCTCATTTAACATTTTGTCTAAAACTCTGCCGACCAATCTAGGTGGCGGCACTAACCAATTTTTATCTTCTTTCCAAATTTGCACAAAAGCATCGACTGCCTCACAATCCGGACACCACCACCTAAAATTAAAACGCTGACAATGAGCATTATGATTTGACGAAAATCTATCCACAGTACGTGGACCCCAAACTTTATCTAACATGGAAAAAACTCATGTTTGAATGCTCCAGTCATCATTGTCATACATACGACTAAACTCGTCTGCTACAAAATTATTTTCTCGGGGTATCCATTCTGAAAAAAGACATATGTTATTTTTGTCACAAAAAGACCGAACGTTTTCTGAAACTTCATGCAAATTTTGTTTCCTGCTACCTTTCTGTAAAATTGAAACTACATTCTTATTATCATTGGACATTCTTTTCTTTTAAAAGTTTTGCGTTACTTTTCATAACCCTTTCTACTGACTGAATTTCTCTCCATGTGGAGCTTTGTGCAACTTCTATGTCACTCCAATTACCAGCACCTCACTGTCTTCAATTAAGACGCCCGCACAAAGGGCTACATAGCCTCCGTACCCAGTAGACGAGGCATCAGAAAAACACTCAAAATCACATGTTAATTCTGTATTTATTTCTTTCCCCTTTTCATTCAAAATTCTTACATTTTGCCTCCAAAAGCGCAATTCACTTTGAGCGTTTTTGTCAACAAATACACATGAACCCCAATTAATTTAATCTAGATTCTAAAACAGCGATAAAGACACCTTGTTTTGAAAAATACTATCTTTCCTAGTGCATTTTGAAAAGACACGATTTGACCAATTACGGAAGCTAGAAAACGAGCTAAAACTACATTTGACTTATCTTTATTTGTTTGGAAAAAAAACAAAGAATCGATCGTGCTTTCTAACCTACAGATTCTTTCATCGGTGGCATGCAGTGTGCCTGTTAACATTTCCCAGCAATAACCGAGCCAAACTGAAGTTTGTGCTGGAATCCAAATGCACTTTTCTTCTGCTACCAAAAACCAAGTTTAAGTAACAACTCATGTACGTAAATACTAAATGATTTTGCAACGCTTAAATCATTATGTCCGCCCATACCGTCATCTAAAAACATGACTAACTTTTGGCCCCTTGAACGCACGTGTCGTACTGGTATTCTCATTAATTTAGTAAAAATGAAACCTGCTGTAGATATTCCAAATGGGAGCACATTATACATATAAAAATGTCTTTCTCCTTCATTTTCCCAAGAAAAACCCAAATATTCTCTATGATCCTGAAATATTTTTTATGATGTGATATGCAGACTTCAAATCAAAAGTAAAAACAAAATCTCCTTTTTTGAAAATATTTGAAGCCACTGAAACATCTTCATATTTAAATTTGAATTTAACCAGGTGTGGATTTATATGCCGACAGTCTAAAACTAACCTGGGTTTTCCCGATTTTCCGAATGCTACTGTCAAAGAGTTTACTACGGCAGGAATATAATTAATTTTAGAAATACAACCTTTATGCAATAACTTTTTAATCTCCCCTTTAACAAATTCCGGATTTTCCCTAGCAGACTTATTATTCTTCAATACGCAAGTATTAGGTAATGTTTTGAAAGGCAACTTATACCCCTGAGTAATGACTGTTCTCATAGAAACATCAATTCCGACATTTTCCCACTCATTTAATACATTTTTTCAATCGCCCAACTGGCGACACGCTTTCGTCTATATCGGAAAAAAACCAATGCTTTTTTTAGAAATCAATCTCTCTTCTAAAAATAAACTATCTGTGTCATTTGTATCATTTTTGCATATGCTCTTATTACAATCAAAAACAGAAAAACTACTTATCTTTTCATTCGTTTTGTCAGCACTTGTTCTTCTACACTCGTATTTCCAATGCCCTGGCTTGCCACATGCGAAACATAGACCTGGCCGGGTTGACCTGCTGGTTGTGACTGTTGAGATGTTGTTCCAAGCTGCGACTGACTTCTGTGGCTGCGTCTCCACTGACGCTGTATGACCGTACGGTGAAAATCTCTTGAAATCGGAAAATGGACGTTTACTCTTCCATTTTCTGTTGGCCCTGGCTTCAGCACGAGCTAACTTTTTCTCGTCTTCGGAGTCCGAAGCAAGTGGGTTGCTTTGGTATTCTTTGACTACTAACCAACCCAACTCCGAGGAGTCTGCTATGCGAATGAGTTTCTGACGATTAGAAAGTAAACTCAAACCTTCGGAAATGCATTCTGACGCTCCGGATAAGTCCATTTCATTGACTTTTGAGGCCGTCTCCTTCAATGCATTGCTGACCTTCACGTTGAACTTTAACTGGTCTTCACAACTTTTCCGCTTGAAAACGTAATTGTCATTTTGCAAAATATCCTGCTGAATTTTGCTTATTTGAGTATCAGAAATTGCTTTCTGACTTTTTAAAATCCTTTCTTCCATTGACGCTAATTTTGAAGACATCAAATCCTCTATTCTGTCCATTATATCGTGTTCGTCCATTGACTGGTCCCCCGTAGTCATTATCGATCTCGGAAATTTTAAAGCACGTGTTTATTAGCAGTGGTGCACGCTAGAAACTGATACCTGTAAACTCTACCTATCCCAATGTTATCATACCATTCATTTCGATTTGTAACAAAACAATCAAACATTGGTCATGTGACTTATTCAATCGTAACGTGCAGACATAACTTTACCGCTATACTACGTAACGCGGTAAAGTAAAAATTACATAAAGAATAAAGAAAAAGAAAACTTCTCAAGTAGGCCTAATGTACACTTAAAACTTAAAAGGTAAGGACAGTTTAGTTATTGTTACTCTTGGTTTATTTTTGTTACAGTTAGATTTAGTTGACAATTTCAGATCATCGCAGTATTTAGTTCGGGGTAATAAAATAAATAACACATGGGTTTGTGAGTAACAGTAAAAATATCATCCCTCAGGTAACAGTATTTTACTCGGGATGATATTTTTACTGTTACCCACAAAACCATGTGTTATTTATATACTGTTACCCAAAAACCCATGTGTTATTTATATAATATCAGTTGCTGCCTTATTTTCAGAGTTATAAATGCTGTTATATATATGGAAAATGTAAAAGTCTTTATCAGATGACAGAAACGCTTTCATTATTAATACAGTGTTATCTTGAAACATTTAAATGCTTACTTTGTCAACTAGGCCATTGAACTGAAATTCAAATTTATGTGAATCTATGGGTTTCTTTTTTACATTATACTGTTGTTTCAATATCTAAAAAAAAAAGCATTTGCGGAATAACTCACAAGCAGAGTTAAGGTTTGAAATTTGTTTTCTTTCCTAGTCGATGGAATTACAAAGAACTAAAAATCCGATAAGGTTATTGATGCGCCTTATGTTCTTGGAAGAGAAACATTCCAAAAAGTAATGTTTGTTTATATTTATAATATCTAGTATTTTCTCTAACTAATGCAGCGTTAAATAACTGCAATAATCAGTTTGAATGTTTTTCTTTTTATGCATATTTGCCTTACTTATTTACAAGTAAAGCACAGTATACAATCTTTTTGGCGCTGACTGCCTTCATAACAGATTTTTGAAAATCAATAGAATAAGCGTTTTACAGTTTATAAAAGCAAGAAACAAAATATTTGTCTTTTACCAACGTACTAAGTGTTTGCCATAATACTAATCAGTTACATTATAAATTTAATATCTTTTCAATAAATAACAAAACTATCAAGTATGCCGCCGGCCTTAAAACGATTGAGTTTGAGTGTACACAGATTACATTTTTGTAAACATATTTTTGAAGAAAAAAACAACAAAAAAACGTAGAATAATATTTGCATTAAAAATGCAAACTAACTTCGTACAACTCTGGTAATCTGCATATATATTTTCATACTTGATGACTAAACGACCACTTACTGATTATTTTTATTCATTTCAAAACCGTTTCATTGTTATTATGATGTATATAGTGTAAAACTCATGATTTTAAAGAATTTATATCTTCAATTAACTAGGTGCAAGATTTAAATCTTAATATGATCAAAGATAAATTTATTTAGATAAAACATCTTATACATTTTGAAAATGAGTATTTTATAAGTTATTAATTGTTTAAGGACTGTCATCGAGAGACTCGTATATAGAATGTAACCTTGAAGGACAATGATAAATCACAAATTAACACATGATCCTCACTCCGTTTGGCTGAGATATAAATGTGTAATAAAAAACATAAAGAATGTAAGGTATTAAGGTCAGATATGATTATATATTACATATGAAAGAAAACAACTTCGATACAGACAGAATAAACAATATAAATTGTAGCATGCTAATTCAACACTTTATTAAACAATTCACACTTAATTACTCCATTACTTGTAGTATTTGGATTATATGTTTTTTACAATTTAGATAAATACACATCTGATTTTCTGAACGATTGAGGAAAAGCTCTGTTTACACATCGGGGAAACAAACATCTGTCAAAAATATGAAAATAGTAAATAAAAATGTAAGGAATTTTAAAACCGTAGACAGAAAATTAAAGTTGTAATTGGGTCTGATGCAGTAAAAAAAATTAAACAAAAGGGTTTTGTTCCCGTAAAAAAGGAAATTTTCTAAAACAAAAAAAACTTCTGTCGATTTAAAATTTACAAATAAATTTATGAACCAACAATGGTTTATAAAGTCAGGAACTTCAAATGTCTTGTCAAACATCTTTAATTTCATTTTCAAAACCTTTAAAAAAGGGCATCGCATACTTTATTTTTATTTTTTTATTTCATATAAATTAAAATTTAAGGGTAACACCAAATTTTCATCCAAAGTTAAAAAATTTTTATCACATTCTTGGGAAAAGTCCCTCTAAAAAAAATAAAATTTTTAAAAAACAGTAGCCCCCAAAAAAGTTTTACGAGCATGTCCAAATTTTTTGTGATGTTTTATTAATTGTTTGAAATAACCTTTGTTTAAAATGAAAAAAGAAAATATGTAATTCATTTTAAGACATCATTTTTGTGAATGTCGAACATGTTGTGTATGCTACAAAGCTGGAAAAGAAACTTTTCTCAAACAAAACAAATTCATTAAAATACTTATTCTTTTCACCTTTTTGATACCGATGGTCTCACATTTTCCCCGATTAGTTAAGTATAAAAGCTATTGCAAACATGAATGTTTAGCTGTGAAATTGATAATGGTTTGGCTAAAATTATGCCAGATTTTGTAAGAGCTTAAAACAGGTAAGTCAATGGACATTGCATCAGGTATTCGTACTAAGTAACTTTTAGGAAGTTCATTTTGCTACTTGATATAATGCATAATTTATGACATTTGTAATTTCAAATGGTTAATATGATATAAATGTGAAAAAAAAATGATTGAAATGTAAATGTTTATAGATATTTAATATAAACTATTGGTATTTATTGTGAAAATATGATTACGAAAATAACAAATGAATTGGAATTCGTTAAAAATTTCAATTACATATTTTACTTTAATAAACTTTACCTGATATACTTAATTATAGTACCATTAAAATACTTGCACATATGTATACAATTAACATAAACAGTAAGCAGAATGGATTTTTAAATTGTTTCATTCGTAATACCTTATATACATAATGCTCTTTTATTGTAAAATAAGAGCAAATATTCACAAAAATAATACGTTTTCATATTTGATTCAATGATAATATTTCTTATAAATTTAATGTCTTCCTATTCAATTATTTTAATAACTCATACTTATGATTTTTACAAATTTGGCACATTTATTTGAAAAGAAGATCAAAAGGATCTCAATGTGCAGATACCACGTGTACTGGCACTGAATATTATGTATTGCTAAACAGAATTTGCCTTGAAAAAGTTATTGTATACCAATTATCTACGATACAAAACTACGTGCGATAAATAATTCATTGTGATGAGCAATTATGAACATACATTTAATAATTGTTGTTATTCTCAAAATATGCAATAAATCATGATTTAATAAGGAATATTATAAAGGATATATTGTTACGACAATCGTCATAAAATCGCATATCTTAAAGTGTACACAAGAGTTTTAGTAAGATCCTTTAGTAATAATGATTTAATAAACACCTATCAAAATAGTTTTATTGAATATGAAAATTGTTCTATTACTCGTATATCATGTTTACGGCATATCATGCACTAAATATTGTATTCAACATAATTATATTTTTAATGTTGATATGATGATTCACCACGGCTTGATTTATTCTATTGTTCATATCCCTTGGTGTAACTTTAACAAACATTGTTCGAGTATTTTACGTTCATGTTACTATCATGAATTGATGTGTCTTAAGAATAAATCATAAACTGTATATATCTGTGCCTTCCCTAAATTACTTTATGCAGTCTTCATTTTGCATTAATACGAATGATAATTGATATGGCACGATAACTTTCTGACATATGTATAACATTTTTGTAAGGCCTTCCACATGTGATAAGATAAAAGTAATAGATGTGCCATTCCCGTTTTACTTTAGTATTTGACATGGTTATGAAGTGACATATTAAAATGTATTGAACTCAATGATTCATTTCAGAATTTTCCTCAACATTTTAGAAACAGTTAAATTGCTTTTCTTTACTTGAATTGATAAGCATCTCAATATAATTTCATATCATTGGAACTCCTCAATTTGACTTATGTGAAATGATAAAATCGGTACAAGTCTTATAATAGTTTTTGATAAAAGACCACCCACAAATAAAGCAATTCGATCTGATATCAAACTGTTTTAACCGCCATGCAGACAGATAAAAATGAAATGATAATTTATTTAATTACTCCAATGTTAAAGAAGAAATCAACAGTCTTCTCTAACAAGTCTATGATTCTAGCACGTTTACATGTTAAAAATCGAATGCCGCTCAATCCAGTGCTTGGGGAGGGATGTTGCACTTATTCATCATCCCTTATGTACAGACTCCATGTAACCGAGTCGACAATGTTTATGTAATTTTGTTCTTTTTATTTATGCTTCCGAGGATCACCCTTATTCCAGATTTGTGTATATATATATATTGCATTGCGTACAAACGGCTTTACTTTTGCGTTTGTTCAGAGAAACAGCAGACTAAAAATATAACAAATCATTTTCTCTTACGCGTTATACAAGAATCGCACGAGAATATTAAACTGCATTTAAGCTTGTTGTATGTAATCTTTATAATCATATGTACGTTTAAATTCTTCAAGTCATATCAGAAATTTGCAGGTGACAAACAAATCTCTTCAAACAGTTTTGTTGAATTACTTATTTACGCCAATTTTCTTCCTCTTGTTGTAAGAAACATATTACAAAAAGCATAAGCAACGGTTTTGTTCTAATGATTAATCCGAATAGTCAGTGCAACGCAATATGTTTGTTTCCTAACGTATGTATATTTTTTACATTTGTTTTGCAGTAACTTAATGTTTTAAACAAAATCATTATATAAGTAGTATTAAATTTACATTTTTGTTTTAATTA